ACCCCTTAATCTTTGTAACAAAAAAATATAAACTGCCATGAAAATCATGGGCCAGTGAGAAAATCGATTGTTTTGCAGCGCGCAGTGACTCCCGGTAATTAAAAATTCACCTCTCCCCTCCTAATTCTGATTAAGTGATGAAAAAAGGACAGTTCGACGGAGAATTAAATTCTCCATCAATTAACCGTCTTTCATGCCTTAATCTTTGTAACAAAAAAATATAAACTGCCAAGAAAGTCAGGGGCCAGTGAGAAAAATAATTCTTTTACAGCGCACACTGACTTTTCACCATTCGCCCCCGAATTAAAAATTCACCTCTCCCCTCCTAATTGAGATTAAGGGATGAAAAAAGGGCAGTTCGACAGAGAATTAAATTCCCCATCAACTAAACCTCTTTCACCCCTTAATCTTTGTAACAAAAAAATATAAACTGCCATGAAAATCATGGGCCAGTGAGAAAATCGATTGTTTTGCAGCGCGCAGTGACTCCCGGTAATTAAAAATTCACCTCTCCCCTCCTAATTCTGATTAAGTGATGAAAAAAGGACAGTTCGACGGAGAATTAAATTCTCCATCAATTAACCGTCTTTCATGCCTTAATCTTTGTAACAAAAAAATATAAACTGCCAAGAAAGTCAGGGGCCAGTGAGAAAAATAATTCTTTTACAGCGCACACTGACTTTTCACCATTCGCCCCCGAATTAAAAATTCACCTCTCCCCTCCTAATTGAGATTAAGGGATGAAAAAAGGGCAATTCGACGGAGAATTAAATTTCCCATCAATTAACCTCCTTTCATCCCTTAATCTCTGTAACAAAAAAATAAAAACTGCCATGAAAGTCAGGGGTCAGTGAGAAAAATAATTTTTTTCACGGCGCACACTGACTTTTCACCATTCGCCCGCGAATTAAAAATTCACCTCTCCCCTCCTAATTGAGATTGAGGGATGCAAACAGGGCAGTTGATGAGTAATTTAATTCTCAGTCGAACTGGTTTTATTTCATCTCTTAATCTCAATTAGGAAGGGAGAGGTGAATGTTTAATTACCGGGAGTCACTGTGCGCCGC